TTTAGATTGGTTTTTATGTCAGCTCTCTTGATAGCTACTTCAAAGATAATAGTTTTATGTGAATATAGATGTGTGAATAACAATAGCATATGTGACTATGGACTGAATATATACACATGGTGTGCGTTCAGTTTCTGTCAATATACTTCATAAATGTTAAAATTATTCATTACCAACTGAACTTCTTTGGTTTTTATAGAGGTGGCTATTATGCCATGTAATGTTTAGAAGCAGTGATCATCTAGGAAAGATTTCCAAAACAATGGTACGTTACGAAGACCCACCAGCATACTTACACACAATACAATGAGCTAATGAATGACAGTGAAAAGTAGTCCTGCTTGTGTATTTAGAATGGGTAGCAGTGGTGGCCTCTGTAAACTCAGTCCAAATATCACTTTCTTTATAAAAAAAAAAAATTGGCACTCTCTAAACAGAATAAACCCTGAAAGTCATTTTGTGATGAACACACAGAAACTGCTGAAATAAAAGTGAATTACAAATAACTGAAGCTGTGATAAGTAAAAAGATAATTAGGAAATAAAATTCAAGGTCAAACAAAAATTGCAAAAGAGGAACTCTCTTAGGAGTATGTATATGTGAGGCTTAAACTGCCTTTGGGAAATAAATACACACTGGCTGTTGAAACCATCAGGTCTAAACATTGTGAATTATTAAGTAATCCACCCTTAGATTTACAGAAATAATGAAAACTAGGGTAAACCAGTAGGATTTGTTTAACTCTGAAATAGGGTCAGGATGAAATAAGTCTTTGATAAAGCAGTCTTCAATTTTTCAGATAAGGGCATAAGACTGGATCTTGAAAGTCATATTTCAAAGGAACATTGAAACGAAAGTTACCACAACATTTAATGTTTGTTGTTTTAAGCTAATATCTCTTAGAGTTAATAGAATGGTAATTATGAATTGATGCCACAAAATTGGTACATTTCTTACTGATTAACTGTCCCTCTTCATCAGACATCCATGATTACTAAAAAGCATGACATTATCATGAGAAAACTATGCCTTTACCTAAAACATTTCTTGGGAACAGAAACTATTTTAAAGCAAAGTAGTGATGAGTCTTGATGTGCTGGTCTGCATTAGCAGGGGGAAGGCTCCTCTTACCTGAGGAGTAGGGAGGTAGTATCCCTGCAAGTATTAGCACATGAGTTTGACTCCTGAAATCCAACTTAAAAAGCCACACATTATACTGTGCACTGAGAAAGTTGAAATAAATCCTTGGGCTCAGTGACCAGCCAGCCACTGAGGAGGTCTAGGTCAATGAGAGAGAGAGAGAGAGAGAGAGAGAGAGAGAGAGAGAGAGAGAGAGCTTGTCTCTAAAATGTATGAAGCACAACAGAGAATGGAGAATAATGGAAAGTATGTGGGAAAAGGGTTTCAGGTGTCATGATGAAATTACTGACATACAATTCAATTAAAAAACATCCTCCTATGACATATGGCAGGTATTACTAAGTTATCATAGCTAGTATGTTCAAGAAAGAACTCCTTAATGGGAGCTTCGAAATAGCTCATAAGTTGTTCCCGTTCTCGCGTGATAGATAACATTCATCTCTACATTCAGTTACAGTGCGTCATATGGCCTCTCTGGACACGGTGTGCCCATGAAGTACACAGACATGCATGTACAGGAGCTACATATTCACACACATTGAAAATAAGCAAAAAAACCTGCCAAGTTGCAAGTGAGCTTCAGCCTTGAATCCTTTTCTAGAGATAGCTTCATGGTTTTGAAATTTGTTAAGTGAGATTATCTGCTTACTTGGTTTAAATTTCTGCTAAGTTAAAACAACTTTAAAAGGGGGCTGTTTTTGTTTTTGACTGTAAATTATTTATCTAGTCCTGCCATATATCAAATACAACCATACATGGATTACATCTTTAATTTTTTCAAAAGATTTATTTATGTATACAGTATTTTGTCTGCATGTATGCCTGCAAGCCAGGAGAGGGCACCAGATCTCATTATAGATGGTTGTGAGCCACCATGTGGTTGCTGGGAATTAAACTCATGACCTTTGGAAGAACAGCCAGTGCTCTTAACCTGTGATTACATCTTTAAGCAAGTTGTCAATCTTGATTTTTTGCTACCACCACACACATTCTGGCTTTGTTGAAGGAGAAACTGTGGTAGGAAATATGGCTCCCTTCTGGGTGTGTGTGTGTGTGTGTGTGTGTGTGTGTGTGTGTGTGTGTAGTGCATAAACAGTCTTTCTTATCAGGTAAAAACTTTAGGAAGCATACTTAACAGTGATTTCCTGAACCTATTTTTAGTAATCTATATTTAAAATATTATCAACATATTGTAATATTTCCTGTCACAATTCTACTATCTTCTATACAATCGTAAAATTTGAAGAAATGGAAAGTAATGTTATTCCTCTCATAGATAAATGCCATACTTACACTTATGAGGGAGACTAACTAAAATTTGAATCTTGCTCTCCAGACCTAGAGGATTGAAAATTTACCATTTTATCACAAAAAAAAAATGGAACAGATTTTTTTCCCATAAAATGTACATCTGAATCATATAAATAGTTTAATAAACCATGATGCACAAGACCTGTCTGAGATAATGGCTGTCAGGAGATATGTCCCAATAGTTGTAAGGATTACAGTATTTTTTTTTTTTTTACCTTCCGCCAAATTGAATCTGTTGCATTTTGAAATTATAATTGTTTGCACTAACAATGTAACCCCATGGCATATGCAATTGGCTAAATGACTAATTAGTGCAATTTCAGCTCTACAGATGAGGAGAAGACCCCAGAGTCTGCAACAAGACTAAAAGTCAGAGGGCGACCATTGATAGAAGTTCAATATGTAGTTCTTGGTATTAGTACATGCTATTTGTAAGCAAATTCTCGCAGGTTACCAATCCTTCTAGGCAGGAGAATCAGTCATGGTGTAGGTGTATAAATTCAGTTTCTTTAGTCTCTCATTCAGTTCTATATGCACATTTTCTACAATTAACACGGCTCATATCAAAACCAAACACTTTCTTTTATTCACCTTCAATACTCATCTGCTTACTTATAATAATTTCCTCTTTATTAGATTTTTCCAGGTATTTTTCGAACTTTACCATTGGTTTGGTGTACATCAGCCAAATCATACATTGCAGACTGTATTGAAATTTTAATAACTGAGCAGGATTGTATTTACTACTGATGTACATAACCAGGATTGTTTACAAAAGCACTCAAAATATTTGCTCTTGCTTTGATTTGAACATGAAATAATATTGTTCCTTTGGGAGATATGAATACTAAACAGAATCAGTGCCTTTAAAATCTTCACCTAGAGCCATATTTATAATCAAATATCCATAAGCATACACACACCTGAGGAATTCTGCAACTTACAAAGATAATTTTTAAGGTTCATGTATTTTAACGATGATGAAATATTCAACATGGCATTTTAAAAATATTGAGACAAACCAAGCTCTCCACTCACTGGGAGAGAGAGAGAAAAAAAAATAAAGCAGCATTTTGTAATGAAAATAATGTTTCATAGTACAAAATCACTTACTCTATATTATTTTTACTTAAGACTAAGATACAACTAAGCCAAAAATATAAATATTCGAAGAATTTAACAAAAAATGAAAAAAAAGATTTTTTTAATTTAGTATTTCACAAATTTCATTATTTCATGTAATTTTCCTGAGAATTAACATCTTGAAGTATGGATAAGACCTATTTCCTATTGTATGTTGCACAAGAAAAATATTTTGCTTGCTTTAAATTATGAATTCTCTAATTTACAAATGAACTGAATAAAGAAAATAAGAAATATGCCAGGAGATAATGAAAATATGCTCACGAAGTCAGGAATCATATCTGATAGATATGGTTGTACATAGCATTTTATGAAGGCAGGACTATGAAATAAAGCAGGTACTAGCGCCTTCATAACAGGGTATTTTTGGTAATTTTGACAACTTGAGAAAAGCAACATAGAAAGTACATGTTATCATTGTACTGATAGAAAGTGAAATGAAGCGTAAGGCAGTGTATAAATGATAACCGCACTGGGTGCAGCTTTTGTTCCTTACCTGTCTTCGGTTCCACGGAAAAGTACGGCTGCCCCTGCAGAATGCTGTAGACCACCCGGGCACTGTTGCCATAGGTCGGATCATCGGCATCTGTCGCTGTCACTTGTACCACTGAAGTTCCTAGGTGACAACCAAGAAGGCTCTGGATTAAATTTCCCAAGTACAAGGGCACTGAAGAACTCACAAACTGTTAGAAATTCTAGATTACATTTATTTATTTATTATTTTATGTTTATTTTTATCATGACACATAAAATATCAATCTAATATATTTTCTGTTTAAACCAAAGAAATAAATGTTAATACAAATTATCAACATCGGTGATTATGAAAATATTTAGGTAAAAATACTACAGAATGATGAATAGTAGATTGAAACCAACTCAGAGTGAAATGAGGCTAAAACATTAGGTGTCTTACCCATCTTGCTCAGGTGACAAATTTTTGTTAAGAACATTATCCTTGAGACTCAAAGACTATCTAAAGGGCAGTCTGAGAGGTTACAGCAAGCTGGTGTCCATCTCAGTCATCATCAGGAGTCAGAGAACCTCTGTAGATGTACAGTGGACATTTCGTCCATATAACTGTATATTATATGCTCCCTCTAACTCCTTGATAAGAGTTCTGCTTGTATGTGTTTATACTGTCTCTGATATGTACTCATGGGCTGGCTCTTTGATCAACTCCACCTGAGGGAAGAGCAATCTTACCAGTCCACAGAGGAAGACAATGAAGTCAGTCCTGATAAGAACTGATGACTAGGGTCAGACAGAAGGGGAGAAGGACTTCCCCTATCATTGGACTGGGGGAGGGGCATAGGAGAATAAGAGAGAGGGGGGGGGGATTGGGAGGGAAGGGAGAGGAGCTACAGCTGGGATGCAAAGTAAATAAAGTATAATTAATAAAAATAAAAGTAAAAGTAAAAAATAACAAAATAAAAAACAATTAAACCAAACCTCTTCAAAGCTGAAAAAGCATGACACTGTAAAAATGTCATTCTGTAGTTTGAATACTGCATGTCACAGTGTCTTCATTTTAGACATAGTCACTCATTTTTGACCCTTGGGTTGTTTTCCTTCTGTTTGTTTACTTTGTTCAATTCCAATATGTTAGTTTTTGTTTTATCTTATTATATATTATATTATATTATATTTCCTTAAAAGCCTCTTTTTCCATTTTAATTATTAATTTATTCTTTCATATGTTATATCCACATAGAAGATTCCCTTCCCTCCTTCTACACCCACCTCCTCCACCACCACCCTCTTCTCTTCCCATCCTCTCCATATCCCATCAGAAAAGGACTGGCCTCTCAGGGATATCAACCAAATATGGCATACAGGATGCAATAAGATTAGGTACCTCTTCTCACATTAATGCTGTACAAGGCAACCCAATAGGAGGACAGAAAGGGCAGGGATCCGGGTGAGAGAAGAAGTAGAGAGGAGCTGGGAGGAGAAACTGTATGCAGGAAATATATGAGAAAAAAAATTATTTTGAGTAAAAAGAATACAAAGTGAGAGTATTGATATTATTATTTGATGTGTGTATGCATGTCTATTCATGTAATTTATCTAATGCCTGATGTATAAGGAAAAGCTACCAAATAATGCATTATTTGAATTTTAGTTTGGTTACAATAATTTCCTAAATATGGAACTTTAAATCTATTATCATCTTTGCATGCACATTTCGTAGATTTCTTTCTTAATGTTTTACGTCACTAATGTTTTTTAAAGAATTCCACTCAATTTCTGTACTATGACATCTCTTAATAATTCCATCTCTCCTGTAGTTAGATAGAATTTGTGAAGTTATAGTCACAAAAATGTTTGTAATTTATTTCTTTTTTAGTAAACTTCACTGACTATGCCTCTTAGAACTAATATGGTGAATGGCGTGTACTCCTAAATGAACCTAAAAGTTATATTTTAAATATTTTTGAATGTGATAGATCATATAAATGTTTAGTTTATCAGCAAATTTAAATTATTTAATCGATACATATACAAAAATATTTGCAAACACACATAAAGTTTAGGGTTGTATGTGAGTAAGTGTGTATGTGGGTAGGAGGTTCAGTTGTGTAGACACTAGGGGACAAGGCTGTGTATCACTACCTAGCTTGGTTTTTGAGACAGGGTCTCTCCCTGACCTGGGACTCACTGAGTAGATTAGGCTGAACAGCCAGGAAAACCAGAGTCTCAGTGTCCAGAGCTTCGACTGATTACCAGTGTGCACTAGCAGCTTTTGACCTGGGTCCTGGAATTGAGCTCAAATCCGCATGCATTCATGGGAAGCAATATACTGACTGGGCTTTCTTTCTGGTCTCTGAATGTAAAGCTTCTAGGCTTATCTATGCTCTGTAGCAATGTATAAATTTTCTTTCAGCTTTATCGTTGAGTATAAATAAAATGAAAAATAAAAACTCTAATATTAGAAACTGAATACTTATGGTCTTTACACCATATCAATTGGTGCGATTATAACTATTTTGTAAGAATTAAATACTTTAGTAAGTGATAACACATTGTAAATAAATTTCAGTTCATATTGATATTCGGTATTTAAGGTATGGCATTTTTAATTATTCAAGGGGTTTAAATTAGGGTTTAATTTTCTAAAATGTTTTTTTATCATTGAAAGCAACCAGTTAAACAAATAATTTGCATGTATACATAATATTCATGCTTCTTGATACTCAAGGAGATTCATCTAAAACAAACTAGTGGTACAATGTGTAACCTCAAAAAAACCCAAATTGCATACACCTAATTAGCATATCCAATAATAAATTTAGTACCTCAATGAAAAATACCTGTTAGGTAAAACTATGACATTATATCAAACACAACTGTTTTTAGTAAACATGACTAATTGGAGGAGGAAAAATGCCAGCTTCCCATAGCCCCACAAACCCACCAAATCTTACTGTCACTAAATTGCTGCTGTTATTCTTGTCAGGCAACAGAGGCAGGAAGAACTTTGAAGTTATGACGAACATCCAGAAAAATGGAACATACCTGCTTTGTCACAGACATGCACATACGTGTACTGTCAATGTTGGTTAGAAGGTCCCTGGGCTATAAATTCTGCACAGGTTTGCACAGGCCCTCTGCACAATGCTGTGGTTCCTTTACTTTGGGGTTTTTGTTGAACTCCTAACAGTGGGAAAGGGGGTGTCTCTAACTTTTTGTCTAATTCTGGGATTTTTTTTTTTTTTTTTTTTACTGGGTTGCCTTGTCCAGCCTTGATATAAGGGTATATGGCTAGTACTATTAAATCTTGCTATACCAAATTCCATTGATAGCACTAGGTCTGCTCTTTTATGAAATGAAAGAGCAGTGGATCTGAGGGAGGGTGGGTGACTGGGAGGATTGGACGGAGGGCACCCCGTGGTCTGTATATATTCTATGAGAGAAGAATAAATAAAAATAAAATAAAATAAAATAAGTAATATATTAATGAACTTTCTCCTTCAATAATAAAATCAATAAAGATTACATTTATAGATCCATTGTCCTATTTTACACTCCTTTTTAAAATAATTTATATACATAAACTACATACTGATGAAATATGTATGCTGTTGAAGAAGTACTCTAAAGAATTTATAATATTTGGCATGAAGTAAAATGATGAATTTGCATTTTTTTAATGAAGAAGTAAGGAAAAATGCTTAGAGGGAGCAGCCTTTTTCTTGTTTTCTGTTTCTCTATTGTTTTACTTCTGTGAAAAACAGCTCAGTATTTAATTTACATATGAACAAGCTACAAAAGAATTAGTGGCTGTAGCATTGGATATTCAAGGAAGGTCATGAACCAGCAACCCCTGTGTTGAGCTGGGTAGACCAGCTGCCTTCCGGTAGCAAAAGGAGAAGGTCAGGAGGTGTAACCCTAATAGTCAGAGAAGACTTTGCTGCTCCTAAGTTTGTAGGTTTTCTTTTTGGAGGCCCTAGTTCAATCTGCCGCTAAAGAGAAAAAGAGAGACAGAGAGAGTTTGAAGAATATAAAGAAAAAAAATAATAATAATAAAATAAAAAATAAAAAAACATTAAAAAATAGCTTCTCAGACATTATTGTATTCGTAATTTTAAACAAGAAAATTATTTGGTAGGAAGCAAAATGCAAAAGCCATTTCATAAAGGCAGCGAGAATGGACTAAAAATTTGAGAACGGTATAAAAATGTCAAAATATAAACCAACAAAAAAATAAAGCTTCTCCTAACCTTTCAAAGTAGTAAATGAATATTTGAAGGGGTGACTTTTGTTGACCAGACTGTCAAGAGTTTTCTTTCATTATCACCATTACTACATACAGAACACTATAAACTTTCAAATGCTTATTACAAACCAGCATGCTCTTTACTTACCCACAGGAGACATTTCAGGAACTCCTGCTGTGTATGGGCCATCCAGAAATTTGGGTTCGTTGTCATTGATATCCTGAATTTTGATAACAAATTCTGATTCAGGCTCCACAGGCTTGTTGGTGAGTCTGTCCAGAGCTTGGGCTCTGAGTGTATAATAGGCCTGCTCCTCCCGGTCCAGTCTCTTGGTGGCATGAATATCCCCAGTGTTTTCATCAATAATGAAAATGGAACTTGCCCCTTCGCCTGACAAGATGTATTTGATGGAACCATCTCCTTTATCAACATCAGAGTGAAGCTGGTGAAAAATTCATGTGAGAGGAGATTAACTTACAAGAGAGTCAGCAATATAAGATATGTAAAAGTCACTCTCATGTCAAACAGCTGTATGAGATTTCATTGTTCTTGAAAAGATACTATGAACAAGTCGATTTCACTTCTTTTTGCAAATAGTCTTATATATAAACATACCTCCATCCCATCAGCAAATTTGGAAACTGGTATTATATATATAATATATATATGTACCTTTTTAAAATTTAGTATTCCCATCCAGCTTTTTCCACCTTCTAAGTAGGCAGACTTTGAATATACATACATACATACTTGATTTGATTTTCATGAGGAGATTTTTGTAGAATATTTGTAAATTTAGTTCTGATATAGTAACTAATTTGCATAGAAATGTGTTATATATACATATATATATATATATATATATATATATATATATATATATATACACACACATATGTGATAAGAACTCTATCCTAATTCCCCAGCCGGTCTCCATTCACAGTCCTCTCTGTGATTAACCAGCATGGCTGAATATCCAGTCATTAAATTGTTCAATATTTTAAATTTTGGAGATGAAAACTTATTGCTCTGGAAACGAGGGATTTTAAATCAATACGTGCATGGAACTTCAGCTCAACATTCTCTGAAATACCAAGAACTGCGTTAGATTTGCATGATTAACCCCAGTGTCAGCAGCAGGGCAGCACCTTCTGATTTGCATTTCATATCTGAATCTGTCCCTGCTGTATGTCAGGACATAATGTTGAACAGAGCAAAGTTGGGAAATAAACATTGAAATAATTATGTATTTTCCTGAACATCATAACCTGGAAAACAAGCTACTGAATCCAGCATTTCACCAACCATTCATCAGTCATAACTGCTGTCATCTCGATGTTGGTTAACAACATAAAAACCCAATTTACCAACTACAAAACTTTTCATTGCCTCACAGAACTACATTTGCATTTTTCAAGGTATAAGTTGTTAATAATATAAACTTCCCTCAACTGAAGAATGAATACAGAAATTGTGGTACATTTACACAAAGGAATACTACTCAGCAATTAAAAACAAGGAAATCATGAAATTTGCAGGCAAATGGTGGGACTGAGTGAGGTAACCCAGAAACAGAAGGAAACATATGGTGTACACTCAGTTATAAGTGGATATTAAACATATAATAAAGGATAAACACACTAAAATCCACAGACCTAAAGAAGCTAAACAACAAGAAGGACACTAGGGAAGAAGCTGAAACCTCACTCAGAAGGGCAAACAGGATAGACATCAGAAGTAGGAGAAAACAAGCAACTGGACAGGAGGTTTCCACAGGGGACCTCTGAAAGACTCTACCCATCAGGGTATCAAAGGAGATACTGTGACTCATAGCCAAACTTTGACCAGAGTGCAAGAAACCTTGTGGAAAAGGAGGGAGATAGAAAGACCTGGAGGGGACAGTAACTCCACTAGGAGACCAACAGAGCCCAAAAACCCTCAGCCTAGGGAGTGCTGCAGAGAATGATACTCCAACCAAGGAACAAGCAGGGAGAGGAACTAGACCCCCTGCTCAGAGGAAGCCCATTGGCTGCTCAGTTTCCAAGAAGGACCCCTAGTAAAGGGTACAGGGGCTGTCTCTGACATGAACTCAGTGGCTGGCTCTTTACTCACCTCCCTCTGGGGAATGCAGCCTTGCCAGGCCACAGAGGAAGACATTGCAGCCAGTTTTGATGAGACCGGAATGGCTAGGGTCAGATAGAAGAGGAGGAGGACCCCCTCCCCCACATCAATGGACTAGGGAAGTGTCTTAAGTGGGAAAGCACTTAGGACATTCTGGGCACTGCATTTTCATCTTTCAGTGGTGTGGGGGATAGAGCTGTCTTCTGCCATTCTGCAAGTGGTACTGCTTCACTCTTAGAGCTGTGCTTTAGGTTTTTAAATACCTAATCTGTCCCTTTGTTTCTGAATAAATAGCACAAAATAGTATTCTGACATGAGTGTATATGTGTATATATATATATATATATATATATATATATATATACATATACATATATACACATATATGTGTGTGTACCATATATATGTGTGTGTGTGTATATATATATACACACATATATATGCATAGATAGATGATAGATAGATAGATAGATAGATAGATAGATGATAGATAGATAGATAGATAGATACGTATGTATGAGTGAGGGTTTTCATGTATGCTACCAATCTATGAGAAAAGTGAGCTACTTCATTTTCTCAAATAATTCTGAGAATTACTAATATCTATATTTGTAACATACTTGATAAATATGTAGAAAAGGTGCATATGTCTCCCTCTAATTTAAACGGGAAGAAATACAGGAATTCTTATAGTTGAATGAACTAAACTTTTGTAAGTATCACTTTTTAAATGTTATAAACACAGTATCTCATTCAATATTGATGATTTATTTACTAATCCTATGGACAAACAAAGACATTGGTGCAGGAAATGACTAAGTACATTATATGGCAGAACACAAACTGCTCTCAACAGCAAGAGGATGCTGAAAACTGTCCAGTTTGTGTGAGTGTTACTAAGTCCACACTATTTACAGCTCAATGTTTCCTTTGGGGTAGGAGCTGCTGTTTTGTGTAGGAGAACATGCACAAGCAATTTTGGGGGAAAAAGACAGCTGATCTCTACTTGTCTATTCACCACAGCTGAAGTTCAGGGCTTCAGGGTGGTCTCTTCATGAATTCATTCTGAGACTCATAAAAACAATTCTTTTTTCCTAGTTCATAAGAATAATGAATAGCACATCTAGCAGCCACAATGAAAATACTTTGTTCTGAGACAAAAGCTGATGGGATAAGTTACTGCTACTAAGATCTTAACTCACTTTCCAGCTACTGTCCTGACCCTGCTTTATCCTGATGCTTAAGTGCGGACCCTGAGAAGTACTCCTCGGGCTTCTCATGAAACTGCTGTGGAGATCAGGGACTTCTTGGGACATCATCAGAAATACCAGGCATATAGAGATTGCGTTTCTTGATGAACTTTTACGAAATTTACATCCAGGATTCCTATTTTCAGAGCCAATCAATATGGCTCATTTAACTAATTCCAGTCAACTGATAGCAGTTTTTTTGGCATGGTTGCAGCGTGGCCCTGTCATATGATAGTTACTGTAAAGAGGATGTACATTCAGTCTTGCCTGTAAACTTCAGGATGAGATCTGATGCTACGTTTTGCATTATCATGTTGATTGCTCTCCATGACTGACATCACAAGAATTTAAAGACAGATGATTAACACAATCTCTTTCCCCATTCATTCAAAAATCTCTGTCCTTGTATTCTACCTATCTTCTGACACACATAAACATATGTGATTTCTCCCGGACACAGAGCATTTACCTTCTCCCTACCACTGACAACTTCCTCTTAGCTTGATACCATTTCTGATAATTGCCACACTGAACAACAATTTTTTTTCTTGGAATCTATACTCTCTTCCTGCAAGGTTATTATAAGCTATGTTGGTTAAAAACAATGACCAACTTGGATATTGATTGGCCTTCTCTTTGATTACCTCCCCCTGAGGGAGGAGCAGCCCTACCAGGCCACAGAAGATGACAATGTAGCCATTCCTGATGTGATCTGATAGACTAAGATCAGAAGGAAGAAGAGGAGAACCTCCCCTATCAGTGGACTTGGGGAGGGGCATGCATGAAGAAGGGGGAGGGAAGGTGGGATTGGGAGGGGAGGAGGGAGGGGCTTATGGGGAGATACAAAGTGAATAAAGTGTAACTAATAAAAGTTAAAAAAATAAAAAGTTTAAAAAATAAAAACTAAAAGAATAATTTCATACCAAAAAATGTTTGTTAATAGCAAAAAAAAAATAAATAAAATACAGTAAGGAGCAAGACACGTGAGGACACTGGAATTTGGAGGGAAGTAACAGTAGGTGAATATAACCAAATGCTCTAAAATTTGTATCTTAACAATCTTTGTCCTTCTATCATCTCTTGAAGAGAATTACTCCTCACTTTCTCTACCAAACCTTCTTTGTATTTGTTATATCCCTGCCACATTTCTCTGAACTACACTCTAGTTTTGTACCTTTAAAAATTATTTAGTTTTGATACTATAGTTTAACTACATCATTCCCTTCTTTCCTTTTCTTCCTCTCAAACTGTCCCCTATATCCCTCCTTGCCCTCTTTCAAATTTATAAACTCTTTTATTAATTTTTGTTATGTCTATCCATCTATTTATATATCTATGCATTTGTCTATGTATGTATCTATCTGTTCATCTCCACCAATATGCAAACACAGCCTTCTCAGTTTGTATAAAGTTACATTTTAGTAGGAATTTATTGCAGGATATTTGTTCCCATTGTGATTCCTGAGATTGTGAACTGTAAAGTAACATGTCTTCCTGCCCCCCACCCCGTGGTTCAGCCCTAACATAACCTTTAATTCAAGAACTTTCTGTACACAGGTTTTAGTAACCCTAGGTCAAGAGGCAGAACAATAAACCAACTGACAGAAAGTAAGCAGTAAGAAGGACTCAGAGTTGAAGGATATTTAAGACAGCAGGTATAAGTGGAAGGGCTTTTAGCTCTTTAGCTCTTGAGCTTTAGATGTCTGGCTTTTTGGACTTATTGAGCTAGCAAGCCTTTGTCCTTGGGTTTTTTGGTCTTTCCCTCCTAGGCTGTCATCTGAGCTAGTGAACTTTTTGGGCTTTTTCCAAAGGAATGTGAGCTGAGAAGGGAGGCCAGCTGGGTGTTTTATCTGCCTCTCTGAGCTAGTAGGTTTTACCCCAGCATCTGGCTCCTGCTATTTTAATTAAATATTTTGGTAAAATACAACAGTTGGGATTTTCATTTTTTATCAACAGTTATTAAATATTTTAAGTTTAAAGATTATAGCTTAATATTCTTAAGTTTTACTTAATTTACTATAAATGTTCTCAATCATCCCTTGTTTTAATCCTAACATACATTTAATGCTTT